CCGTACCACGTTGATGGAACGGTATGACTTTCCGGCGGTGAAAAGTGAAGTCAGGAAATTCATGATGGAGTGAGTAGGTGCAGTAAAGGGATTGAGGTCCCGTCCCACACACCAACTTGTCCAGGAGTGCCATGCTGATAAGTAGCACCTCCTAGTTCCTGGTGCCCATGAATCCCATAGCAGGTCCTTAGTTTCCTGCGATAATTCTTCGGTTCTCCAGGAACCCCGGAAAGAGTCCAGGCCACAAGGGGCAAGTGTTCCTGCAGGACTAGTGGGTGAGGAAGGCCCAATGGATTCCTAAGGATGGTTGGGGCATCTGGTAGGAGGAGGGGGTCGTTGATTGAGAGTTCCAGAAGGTCCGGAAACCATGGCTGGCTCTGCCAGAGCGGCGTGATGAGAATTATTCTCACTCCCTGTAGACGGATCCGGTGAAGGACCCTCGTTATCATTGCGAAAGGAGGGAATGCGTAGGCGCCGTCCCTTGGTCATTGTTGGAGAAAAGCGTCCGTTGCGAGGCTCTCCGGGTCTGGGAGCCAGCTGAAGAAAACCTCTGTCTGTCGATTGTTGCGGGACGCGAAAAGGTCTAGGTAGAGAGGTCCCCTCTGTGCATCCAGTAGCGCGAAAATATGAGGGTCTAGCTGCCAATCGCTGGCGTCCCGCCAGTGGCGTGAGTACCAATCCGCCGTCGTATTGGAGTCTCCTGGTAAGTGCTCTGCCAGCAAGGTGATGTTGCGTGGTAGGCAGTAGTCGAAGATCTCTTTCGTGAGATCCGCCAGTGTTCGAGAACGAGTGCCTCCAAGGCGGTTGATGTATCTGACCGCTGAGACGTTGTCCATGCGGAGTAGGATGCAGCAGTTGGATCGGTCCTTTGCCAGGCTGCGAATGGCGAAGGACCCGGCCAAGAGTTCCAGGCAATTTATGTGCATCGAGAGCTCTTCGGAAGTCCAGACTCCTCCTGTGGACGTGGTTCCGTCTGTTGCCCCCCAGCCTGAACGGCTGGCATCCGATTCCAGCACGAAGTCTGGCTGGTTCCCGAATATGGCCCTGCCGTTCCAAGCCTGCATGCAATTCAGCCACCAGTGTAGTTCTTCCCGAACTTCGACCGACATTGGAACCGGTTGGTCGTATGTCGGTTGTCTGCGAAGGAAACTTGCCTTGAGGCGTTGCATGGCCCTGTAGTGCAGGGGCCCGGGAAAAATGGCCTGGATGGACGCGGAGAGAAGGCCTACGATCCGTGCCAGTAATCGTAGGGGTATGGTAGTCCGACGAAGGACTTTCCGGATCTCCCTGCGGATTGCCGTAATTTTGGTAGCCGGGAGGTGAAGAGTGCATGATGTGGAGTCTATTACGAATCCGAGGAATTGAACTGATTGAGCCGGGGTCAATGCGGACTTGGGACGGTTGACGACGAAACCCAGAGAGTCCAAAAGGTGTAGTGCGTATTCCGTATGTCTCCGCAGAGTGTCTGCATCCTCGTCGAAGATCAGGATATCGTCGAGGTAGATGATGCATCTTATACCTTGGGATCTGATTTTTGCCACTACCGGCTTCATAATCTTGGTAAAACACCACGGGGCCGAGCTGAGGCCAAACGGGAGACAGGTGAACTGCCAAGGGATCCCGTGCCAGAAGAAGCGGAGGTAGGGACGGCTGCTTCTGTGTACCGGAATGGTATGCATCTTTGAGGTCCAGACGAGTGAACCAGTCGTCGCGTCGAAGCAAGTCCCGGAGGAGATGTATACCTTCCATTTTGAAATGCCGATATACCACGTGCGAATTGAGCTCCCTGAGATTGATAATGGGGCGATATTCGCCTGTTTTCTTCCTGACCAG